ACTGCATGGGACTGAGCATATTGCCACCGTCAAAGGGTCACTGTGACCTCTTCAGGCTCTTGGTGACCGTGGTGTAGAGATGAACTTTCCCCGAGCCTGGGACATGTTATGGGAATGGCCTTGAGAGTGAGCTCAGTAGGGAGGACCCCCAGCCGGGCAGGAAGAATGGGTTACTGTACATGTGCTTGCAATAAGGTAGCTTGACCTAGAAAGCTGGACTACCATTGTGCGAGGCCCGGCTGGGCGCTTCTGTGTGTGTCCCGCTGCTGCCTCGTGTAGTCCCAGCCTCAAATAGTCCCAGCCATTCTGCGTCCTCACCCCCTGCAGTGCTGTGCACCCCGTCTGCCTTAGCCGAACACTGTGCTCATCAGAACAGTGCTGGGGTGGTGGCTCTCCTCCGAGGCCTTTCCCCAGGAGAAAACACATTTCCTGAAGGAAGAAGCCCGGCATCCTCCGTTGATCTGTCTCCTGGGAATTTGTCCAAATATTCCTTTGAAAGTTTCCCATGCCTTCCATTTAAAGAAAAGATGCTGTCATCTGGGTCACATATTGAGTCCACCAGAGCAGCCAGGCCCTCGCTGACTCTCGTCCATCAAGAGGAGGTGTGCCTAAGGAAATGAGGGTGAGTGGAGCCAGGCAGAAAGCCCAGAGACGAAGAAGTGACACTCCTCTGCCCCCGTGAGTGTGCTGCAGAGCACCTTAACGGTCCTCTTTATGTGGAGACCGTGGTTCTTGCTGGGAGCCCTGTGAGGATTCATTCCCCGCTCCACTAATGTTGCTGAAATCTGGGCAAGAGGTTTCCTGGTGCTGGGAAAGTGGCCTCACATTAGACTCTTTGCCTCAGCTGGACTTTGGTATCACCCCCCCCCCCACCCCTGCCTCAATAGCTGTGTTTTGGTTTTATGCCCCAATAAAAGACCATCTGCTATTATTTATTTGTTTGTTTTGGAGACAGGGTTTCTCTGTATAGCCCTGGCTGTCCTGGAACTCACTTTTGTAGCCCAGGCCGGTCTCAAAATCAGAGACTCTGCCTCTGCTTCCTAAGTGCTAGGATCAAAGACATGCATCACCACCGCCCGGCCTATCTGCTAATTTAAATACATGCTGAACACTTGCCTTCATTCTCAACTGACGCGAGTCTTTGCGAGCATGGAGACTACATCCTGATGTTTATTCAGAGCTTGGGAAAGAGTTCCAGGAAAGTTGTAGAAGAACCAGAGTCAGAACATTGTGGAGCCAGAGGAGAAAGTGTTGTGTGCTTCCAGAAAGCATCATACTTATCCCCCCCGCCCCCACCCCCGGTGGCTCTATGGGTCCTCAGACTCGGGACAAGTCACTGACATTATAAGTGGGTGTTTCTTTTTTCCAGGCATACTCCAAATTTTAGAATTATCAGACATCATTTCATTTGACTCACTTGTTTATCAACAACAAACAGCTATTATGAGCCTAGTGCCTTCAAAAATCTTAAGATTGTCTTGGGTATTCTAGTCCACATGGTGAGGATGCCCTTTGCCCTCCAGAAGCTCAGTTTCTTGGCATTGTTCCAGATGGTACTAGATGGACTTGTTAAACAGTAAGCCTGCAATTAACTAAGCTTCTAGACCGTTCCACAGCGCTGTTCTCTCGGGCCTTGGCTTCTGGATTCCGAATGTTTAATTCCGAACGTACTTCTAATTATCTGCTATCTTTCCATTAATTTATTTCTATATGCTTTTTTTGTCTACTCACTATGCCCACTGACTGACTTTTTATTTCTGGAGAATATGAGAATAGGGTCTTGATCTTTAAGAAGCTTCAAGTTTCAGAGCATGGTAGTACACACCCTTAATCTCACTCTGGAGGCAGAGGCAGGCAGATCTCTATGAGTCTGGGGCAGGCCTGGTCTACAGAGTGAGACCCTGTGTAACAAACAAACACCAACTTTTAGGAAAGCTTGAAATTTTCAGAACTTGAAACCACAGTGAATGTGTGAAGTGAATGTAAGATGCCGCACAATCCTCTAACAGGACATTTACAAGTATTGGGTCATTCAACAAAAGCATGCTTCAGGAGCGCTCAGTGTGGCCTGGCTGTGTTTTGAGAAAGGTGGAATAATAAAGACATTCTTTACCTCATTATAAAATTAAGGAGTGAGGGTTTTTGGACCCGTGTCATTAGGTTAAACAGAGGAAAATGGCCGGGTTTGGCGGCCATGTCTACTTACGGCATGCAGGAGGCAGAAGCTGGAGGACTGGTGCAAGCTGGAGGCCAGTCTGACCCGTGTAACAAGTGTTAAACACATTTTAAAAAGAGGGCCGGTGAGGGCCGGCACAGTGGAAGATGAGCAGGTGCTCTTCAGGGCTAGCATCCCGGAAGCGCTCCATATAGAGGCTTGACTGGCCTGCAGCCCAGTGGGAGCTGGGACAGTCGGCAGACTTCCTTGGGAAGCTGATGACCACTGAGTCTGACTCAGTTGTGGAAGGTGGGAGTGTGCCCGGGGAAGCCAGCTGCCGACCCTGACCCACCACTCCCAGAAGGCTGATGGGGCTGCCCTGAGGAGGACGGCCTCTCACATTAAAACACAAAACAAAACAAACAAAAAACAACAACAAAGTGTCAGCCACCACACCAAGGACAGCCAGAGAAAACCAATGTGGACGAAGGTGATGGGGTCAGTGTGGGGAAAATCGAGGTGACAGCTACAAAAGATGGGACCACTGCGGATGGAATCTACCCTGGCCTGAACCCTCTGACCCAGAGTCCCAGACTGTTAAGGAAGAGGGTATAATAGAACAGTTGGACCCTTCTCTGCAGAAAGACATGGGTGGGACAGGAAATGGTTTAGGCCCTTGTTTGTTAGGAGTCCTGAGACAGAGGAGCTGTTTTGGAGGGCTATAGACCTCTGTCCTGGTCACCATGTTCCCTGTCCTTCTCTCCAGGGGAAGGAAAAAAGCCTTAGGTCCTGGGGCTGATGGACCTATTCTGTCATAGGCCTTTGAACCTGAAGGAGCCGCGTGAGCAGTGAGACCAGGTTCCCCAGCACAGTGCGTCCTAGATGCGGTGGATATGGAGATGGGGAGGACTCCAGCTCTGGGGGGAGTAGAAGCCAGACTGCCGCACGGTAGGCAGGTACGTGTGTGGAAAGGAACTCCACACTGGGGAGGGTGGGGCGGGGCCGGTTGAGGAATAGTGAGGTAAACATGTAGGTGGAAGAGGGAGGTGATGGAAGCGGAGACAACTGCGGTACCCCCAGTGTCCCCGCCCCGCCTCCCACAGAGTACCACCGACCCAACACCTGCCGCCTCCTGGGCGTGCTCCCATCCTGAGCACCCTCAAGAGTTTGAAGGCCCTGACTAAATGGTGAAGTTAGGGAAGTTGGGCTGTTTTTTTAAGTGCAGGGGTGAGTCAAGACCTTTAATGACATAACACCTTCTTGTTTAATCCGTGACTCGATCTGGGAACCAGCCTTCTGAGACGCAAGCTGCAAAGTTCGGCAAGAGAGTGGCCCCTTAGGAGTCTGGAGCCGTGGACAAACGGACAGACCACGGCAGTGCTCTGAAAGTTACTGTAAGCCTGAGATAAACCATACTTTTGAGAGAGGGAGGGGGGAGGGACGGAGAGAGGGGGGGAGGGAGAGGGAGAGAGGGGGGGAGGGAGAGAGAGAGAGAGAGAGAGAGAGAGAGAGAGAGAGAGAGAGAGATCGAGAGAGAGAGAGATTCTGAGAAATTGAAACTTGAATTCGGAGCTTCAGCCGATCCTGTTTCTTTAGAGAGAAGACAGGTGTTCAGGAGTCAGAGGTCTGGTGTAGGTGCAGAAATTACAGGTAGCTTGATTACAAAGCAAGGTGAGGGACAGGCATAGAGAGAGACGGAAACAGACACGTGGGTGGTGGAAATTTCACGATTTTATGTTTATTGTTGGGTGAACTTGACTGAGATGTAAAAGTCTTGCAAAATTTAATGTGCTCATCGGTGGTCAGCAGACATAAGAGTTTGTTCTTTGAGTGGCTGGAGGACAAACAAGACACACTCTGACAAAATACAGCCACAGGTAAACAATCTCTGTTCTAGAATACAGCAGAGCTCACCCAAGCCGCCTGAGTACCACACGGCGGCCCTAGTCCGGTTTGTGTATCTGAGAGTGGTAGGATCCATTAGCCGCCTCCAGCCTTGCTGAGTCACACTCTCTGCAGCTCAAGGATCGTTCAGAGGCCTGTGAGGACGTGAGCTTCTCAGCTGCAGATCACTGACATCCTCCAGAGGAATGCTGGGTAACTGTGCTTCAGGAGGCCAAAAGCCACAGCTGTCAAATGGACATGTATGTCTCGAGATTCATGTTTTGTTCCCAGGAGGCAATGAATGAATGAATGGGTGAATGAATGAAACCAGACTGGAGACTGGGGACTCACACCTCCATCTTCTGTCATCTTCTGTCCCCGAGAGTGGTCGTAGTTTAACTTGTGAGAGCTGATAAAGAATGAGCACACTGATCAGGGTTTGCAGGCTGGAGAGATGGCCCTGTGGTTAGAGCACTTCTTCCAGAGGACCCAAGGTCAGCTCCCAGCATCCACGTTGGGTGGTTCACAGCCACCTAGATACAACATTAGCTTCCCAGGACCTGACACAGACACATACATACAAATAAAAAACAGATCTTAGAAACAAAGACTGAGGTTTTGAAGGGGGAAGAGTTGCAGGGGGAGGCTGACGAGTGATGATGACAAGCAGTGACGTTGCTGAGAGCGAGCTAAAAACGTGACTTCAATGTGTGCAATGACTCTGTGACGTCATCTCTTGGCAACCTGGCTGTCACGTGACCTTGAGCTCCAGCTTTCTTTGATTGTTGAGGGAATTGGATTTGGAACACCAATCTGGAAGCTTAAGCGATTAACCTGAGGTAAGCCACGCTAAGACGCGAGTCACGGCATCACTTCCCTTTAGAGACCGTGTGTAAAGGTAACTTGGATTCCAGAGCGAGGTCACCAAAGTCTGGGCTTTTGCCCAAAGAGCTGTGTGGTCTTTGTCAAGTTACTTACCTGTCCTGCGTTACTTCTTGAAGAATGGGTTTCGGGGAGGACTCAATGAGGGGCCTTGTAAGGGCAATACTGGGTATAAGTCCTGTGTTAGCATCGATCGTGACTGCCTTCCTGAATAAGTCACTCAGTCATCCTGGGTCGTCCTGGGCTTGTACAATTAGAGAGAGCGGCGAGGTTATCTCTGAGCTGGAGACAGGGAGACCTTCGCTCCTGGGTGCTTCTATGGATAAAGAGGAGGGCTATCAGGGGACGAGGTAACTGTAAAGTCCTGAGTACTTCCTCTCCCCGCGTGTGCTGTGTGGAACTGTTAACTGAAGCAGCTGCGTGGAGGGGCCTCCACGGCCTTCTTAACCTTTTCCAGCTTTGACCCACGCGACACAACCCATGTGAAGGGCATTAGCGCCCTCTGGTGGAGACAGTCACGCCGCAGCAGTTCTGTGTTTGCTTTTCAGATGGTCGAGTTTGACTTGTGTTCAGAAATTCTGTATTTCAGGAGAGAGGCACAACGAATAGACACATTGTTCTACATTGCCAGTGTGGACGCGGCTCCCCGTCATTTCATATGACATAAAGTGGCTCGTATGCCAGGGGTCACTGCCGTGTCTCGTATTTCTGTCCTTCGTTCAAAATGGTTGCTTCTACATAGCTGTACGGCGGTGGTTTCCTCTATTATTCTTTGTAAGTAAATACAGGGCGACAGCACTGAGATGTCAGTGTCAAGACTGAGAAAGACAAGGCTAAAAATAAAATGGCAGAAAACACTGCAGGTCCTCTAATGAGGAGTCATATCCAGAATTTGTAAGAACATTTTGATTGAGTGCTAAATTTGGGTCAACTTTCCTTTTATTTTTGCTTTTTGGTATTGTTATGGTTCGAATGTGAAATGCTTCCCCGTGGGCTCCTGTGTTTGAACACTTGTTCCCCGTCTGGTGGTTACAGAACCCTCGGGAAACGGCACCTCCCTGAAGCAGGTAAGGCTCTGTTCTTCAGTGGATAGACGAGTCCCACTTCCTGTCTGTCCTCTCCTCCTGGACTGTAGAGGCAATCGACCTCTGCTCATCCTCCTGCTCCATGCCTGTCCTGCCATGCCAGGCTGTCTCTCCTCACCTGTGGGTCGGAGCATCCCCTCCTGCTTTAAGCTGCTTCTCCACTGCATTGAGGAAAGTAACTCCTCCGAGTGCTGAACTCAGGACTGTGCTCGTACCCAGCCCGCGCTCTATTGCTCCGCTGCATCCCCCACCCGTCAAAATCCCCCTTTAAAAAGCTTGAGAGCACTGCGTTTGATTCCCTAGGGGGTGTTGAAGGTGAGAGGCAAGGTGGCACAGGTACTAACATTTATTTAATATTTGATTGTCTAGATACTTTGCTAAGTGTCCTTTCTCAGTGTCCCATTTGGCCTCAGCACAACTTGTGGTTAGTTTTGATTGGCTTTCAAGTCAGGAATAGTGGCTCACAGGAGACCAGTGAAAGGGTCAAGTCCACATCTTCTTGACATTTTAGTTTCTTTTTTCAAGAAAATGTGTGCTTGTGTGTGTGTGTGTGTGTGTGTGTGTGTGTGTGTGTGTGTGTGTGTGTTTGTGTGTGTGTATGCCGATGCACACATGCCATGGAGCCTGCGTGGAGGTCAGAGGACTTCCAGGAGTTGTTTCTCTTTCCATCTTGTTGATGCGAGCTGCCTAGAGTGACACCATTTTGTTCTAGTGTTAGCTAACATGTTTCACCCAGCTGCTCTTCAGCTCCTGTAACCACATCCTGATGGCAGGCCATCCTCATGTAGGCACACCTGCAGCCTCCGGAGGTCCATTGTTTTACCACACAGAACTAAATTGTTTTAATCAGCTGAACTGAAACCTTGAAACTTCTGCCCTCTGGCCTGTGTCTGGGGCGCTGTGGTTGTGGTTTTTGGCTTTGTAAGCCCTGACCTGCCTCTGAGAGTCCTTTGTGTCGTGAGCCTGCTCTTGCCAATGGCAAACAAAGGACTCTTAATCTAACCTTCATTAAGGGGTGTTTTCCCGGGTCTTTGTGGGCATTGCAGAGGCACGGTCCCTGTCCCAGGTTCTGTCTCTGCTGTCATCCCAAACAGCAAGATCAAAAGCAAACTGGGGAGAGAGCTGATTTCTGCTCACAGGTCACAGTTCATCATCTAGGGAAGTCAGGAGCCCGGAGTCAGGAACTGAAGCAGAAATCACAGAGGAGTGCTGCTTACTGGCTTGCTCGTCATGGCTTGCTCAGCCTGCTTTCTTATAGAACCCAGGACCACCTTCCCAGGGGTAGCAGAGTGGGCTGGGCCCTCCCACATCAAAGTTAGTCAAGAAAATGCCTCACAGACTTGCCCACAGGTCAGTCAGATGGAGGTGATTCCTCAGCTGAGGTTCGCCTTTCCCAGGTGACTTCCAGCTTGTATCAACAGGAACTGACCAGTGTAGTCGTTTTTATTGTTTTGCACTGTGTAGTGTATTCCAGGCCAGCTGGCCTCCACCTCACTTCAAGGCTGATCTTCCAGGCCATTCTCCTGCCTCCACCTCACTTCGAAGCTCCAGGACAGGTTGTCAAGCTCCTGTGGCAAGCACCTCATCCACTGAGCCAGCTCCACAGCCCGCCCTCTCCACATCGCTTATAATAAAAACTGACTTTTGGCGACTTTAAAAATGAAACCAACTAAAAAAATACATAAATAAATAAAAATGAAACCAAGAAAAGCACATCATTTTGGAAAGAAAGAGTGACTATTGTTCTGAGAACAATGGGCCGGCTTGTTACACTGCAGCTGTTTGTGGTGAAGTTCTATCTCCACTTACCCGGCTTTAAGATAAAAACAATCCAGACCCATTAAAATTATGGATTTAGTCTTTTGGAAAACTAAAAATTTACCGGGCACAAAGAAAATAATTTATTGTATCAATTATAGCCTACTTGGCATATGAAATGCTCGGTTTTTATGAGCAAACGCTGCCAAATGTCTGGTCATTCAGTCACTGAAGTCGATCTTTATGGTAATAGATGTCTGTTCTCGTTGGTGCCGCCCCAGGCTGTACAGATGGGTGATTTGTCGCTCTGTTCCAGCCTGTAGAAAGACTGGTTAGATGTTTGAGTTGGATCTGAACCAACTAGCCTGTGATGGATGTGGGCATCTGTGTGATCCTCCATAGTGCTCATCCACACACACTTCTGCTCCAAGCATCAGCCCGCACACAGGGCTGAGAGCACAAGGCTTCCCATCATGGCCAGGGGCGTCTTATTAACTGCATTGTGAGCTCTCATGGTTCACTGCTTTCAAAAGCTCCCCAAATGTCATCGGTATAAACCATCTTTTGTCTCTTATTTAGCAATGGATCACAGAGTTCAAAATCAGAGGTCCATTATGACGCAGAGTTTGTGTCATTTTCTGATATGGGATGAATGTAGCCATTCTCTCAGGATGGGAAGGAGGAATGTTTGGAAACATTTCTCTGAAATGATTTCGTTCTACATGAGCTTTTCTCTTGGTCTAAGAACTGAACTTCTCTTGCTTCAGTTGTTTTTATAAAGCGCCCTCTTGTGGTGGTTTGAATGAGAACCACGCCCCATCGTCACCCCAGGCTGGTAGGTTTGATTACTTGGTCTCTAGTTGGTGGTGGTAAGCAACTTTATACTGGGCCTCGAGACAGTATCACTAAGATTGATTTGTTCTTTGTTCTCCTTTTAAAAAAATTACTTATTTTTAATTTATGCCCGAGTGTAGATGTATCCAACCTTCTTATTAAATAATAAACACAGAACTAATGCAAAGAAGAAAGCCAAGAGGTCAGAGCTAAGAGCTAAAACCTTACCCTTCCTCCTGCGGTGGTCCTACCTCTCCGAACCAGAGCTACCCCTGTGTTAAAGTCTTTATATAGAGTTCCTGTCCTGCCTTCTCATTGGTTGTAAACCCAACCACATGACCGCCTCCTCACAGCCTGTCTGTATAGGCCTCCAGGTTTTCCATGATTGGTATTAAGATTAAAAGCATGTGTATCCAATAATGGCTGTATCCCTGAACACACAGAGACTTACCCAGCTCTGCCTACCAAGTGCTGGAATTACAAGCGTACGCTACCACTGCCCTGCTTTCCTATGGCTTGCTAATAGCTCTGATCCCTGGGCAACTTTATTTATTAACATACAAATAATATTTTAATACAAATAAAATATCACCATATTTCCCCTTTTCTATTTTAATAAAAAGGAAAAAAAAGAAAAAGCTTATAACTAATATAAGGAAAACTATATACAAAAGTACAATAACTATATACAATATATACAAGTAATAAATACCTAAACAATGTCTAGTCCATTTGTATTTGACAAATTCAGAGAAAATAATTTCATTATCTATCCTATTTTGGTAAGTCCAAAATGTATCCTAATTAATCTTCAACTATAACTAACTAAACTTCAACTATAACTAACTAATCTTCAACTCCCTCAGAGACCCAAGAAGGAAATAATATTAGCTAACAAAAATAAAAACAGGAAGTGCACATAAGCAACTTCCAAAAAATTTGTGAGTTGACAGAAACAGACAGCTGTCTGGACAGTCACCTGAGGTTTCTCCGAAGTGCTGGGGCATCATCTTCAGCCTATAGGCTTAGCATATCTGACAGACTCATTTGTGAAGTAGGATGTACACAAGGTCAACAGTTCAACCTCACATTGAGTGAGAGTAGTCCATGTACCAGTACCAGAAACACCTGAATTCCACTAGTGTCATGTCATGATTCAGGATTTTAAATTCTGGAAATTGTTGATGGTTTTTTAATTCAGCTGTCCATTCTTCTTGGCTGTGTATATATGGCTTCATCTCAGCATCCCATTCTTCTCCATATCCCTCCATCAAATGCCAGTCTACTATTGAGAGGCGTGAGCTTAGTTACTCTTCAAGAATAACTGTTTCAGCTGCTGTTCCATTGCACATCAGAGGCCATCGGCCCACTGCCTGTTCAGCTGCCTTAGAAGAAAAGGGCACTGTACCTTTTTCGAATTGCGAAGGCCACTTCAGGGATGGTGCCATATTGTTCTGGCCTCTGAAGATGCCTTTTGATAAAGCCATAACCACACTTGTTTTGGCAAGAATCAGTAATCCTTTGTTTTATGTCCTGTCTGTCCATTTTGTCCTGTTGATTCGAGGATACTTTGTTGTCCAGTGGCTAACTTTTGCCACAATGAAAGTTAACTCCATATGCAGTTTCTTCAATGCCCATTTTTTCTCTGAAGTAGATTGGTACTGCCAGGAGCCGACATGTCTCATAGTCATAACAAAAAAGAAAAATTTTCTAAGTTATTAAAACATTTTAAATGCCATATTATGTAGATCTCTGAAGGGTTTGAAGATAACCTGTCTATCTAAAATATATCTACTCAATCTTGAAAACATACCTAATATAACTACAAGTTCTATTATAATATCTAACTACTAACTTTCATTTCTTTATATCCTAATAATTGGTAATAACATTCAAGGATCAGAAAATTGCATTACATTGTTAGATGAACGGTACAATTAGAAAAATATATATAACATTTTCTAACAATATCAATTTCAATATATATAATTTGTATACAATATAAAACAATCCAATCCAATGTAATGTATTTACATTTTTCTTTTCTTTCTTTCTTTTTTTTTTTATAATAAGAACCTTAAATCTAATCTCCTTTGCTTAGCCTTTTTCCTAACCCTTGACAACAACTTGTAACCAACCCCCCTAATCAATGAAAATTATCCCAGACCCAAAACCCATTAAAAGACCAAAAAAACCAAACGCCCCACACCACCTCTTTGGGAATGTGGGCGTCGTATTCTTGAAATTGCTTCCTGCTGGGTATGGGCGAAGGTATCTTTATCCTGAAAGAAAAATTTTAGGTTAATTGTCAAATTCTAGGAAAGGTAAATATATCCTTCGTTATCCAGTCTGTGTATAATGCCAAAATTCAGGGTTTATCTCAAATCCTT